TTTTTTTTGCTTTTAACATTTCTTGTGTTTTAATGTTTAGGAGAATATTTTATGATGAGAATATTTTTGAAAAGTGCTTGAAGTTCTTAAGGAAAAGCTCTATAAAAGCATACACAATCATATATATATAATATGTGAACATGTGCTGAATTTGGGGTTTGAGAGGTAAACTCTGTAACATTTAAAAAAATTTTTTTAAAGGAATTAGCACAGTATGATATTGAAGCTTAAATAGTAGCAGGTGTGGGTAATAGAAACTTTGAGATTGGCCAGAAGAGTTTTTGGTAGCAAGAGGAAGGAGGGAGGGCCATTTGGGAAAGATAGGGAATGATCTGGAAGTCTGAGGAGCCATCGGTAGACTGAAAGGGAATGGGAATGGATGATGCATTTACTGAGTCGCCCTATGTGAAGAGAGAGCGAGCTGGTGAATGGACAGATTTGGCGGGCAGCAATTGAGGACAAAAGTAGTTGGTCTACTCCAAGAAGCTGAGGTGGCTGAAGGCTCCTTAAGGCAAGAGCAGTGGGAATTAGGTTAAGTGGTATTAAAAATGGACTAAATTACAGGAATAGCTGTAAAATGTAGGGTTAGTATAAAATTTCGAAAGAGACAAGAAAGGGATAAATCTAGTCAGTGGAAAGTAGAAATAAAGAGAAAAGGTAGCCTACTGAAAGGGGACCACAAGACTGGGATAGCAGTTGGGAAAGAGTATGTGGCAAAAAGGGGACCAGTTCTCTACTGTTGTACTGTGTTAGAGACGTCCATATATGAGATGTGGTTTTGTTTCATTCTGTTTTTTATTTGGTAAGTTTGCCAGAAGCATTTTTAAAAATCTTCCTGACCATAAAACAGTATGTGTAGGCATTCCTGTGGGAATAGAAGAAAAAAATGCTTTACCCTTAAAGTTTATAACCTAATTCCCTGTATTATATATACTTTCTGGGCTTTTTGATGACCTCTATGAGATGAGTTACTATTGGTAAAAGTTGGTGAGGCAGCACATAGGAAAGGAAGAAAATTGTTTTGTTAATGGGACTGCATATTATGCAAAGAGAGAAGAGGTGTAGCTAAGTGCTACATTGAAATGAGGAAACAGAAGTACTTTCTCCATACTGTATATGAGTTATTGCTTGAGAACTTGGGAAAAGTTTCTGTAGTTAACAGACTGTTTAATTAACCTTAAGAAACTTGGACAAAAAATTATGAAAGTAATGCCTTTCTTTGTCACAAGCAGTACTTGTGTATCTTTTTGGATGAGCCACTGTGTGTTGGTCATTCATAACTTCACCAAGGTGATTTGGGACTATTTAATTACCAGAAACTGAAGGATTATATATTTTAGAGACTACCATGTAGTTTCTAATTTAATAATAATAGCCAACACTGAGCGCTTGCTATATATCAGATACTATTCTAAACTCACTATAAAATATTACATCCATTTTACAGTCAAGGAAACTGAAGCATAGAAATGTTTAGTAACTTGATCAAAGCCTTGTAGCATAACTAGGACTCAGACCCAGTAAGCCTAAGCTTTTAACCTCTATGTCATAACATACATGATATATGATAATATAATATACCTAACTTTTTTAATGTGAGCATCCCTTTACTGTTCATCATTGCCACTTACGGCCAGATGGGGTTATTGAGATAACTTATTCCTTTTACATGTTTTCTTTATTGTGTTTTTACATTCAAGATGTTTTTCAGTACTAAGTAATTACATACTTTTTGTATTCTTTCTAGCCCTAAAAACAATTTTCTAAAAGACAGGGTAATTGCTAATACTTTCTGAAGCACTAGTTTGTTTCCTCAATTATCACCTTTCTAACTTCAGACACCCCCCCTCAAAAATGCAAATGATACACCACTGATATAGATGATAGAAAACAGTGTTGTCAAGAATAACATTTTAGCCCAGCCAGTGTTGCGAAGTGGTTGAGCATCAACCTATGAACCAGGAGGTCGTGGTTCAATTCTGGGTCAGGACACATGACTGGGTTGCAGGCTAGATCCCCAGTAAAGGTCTTGCAGGAGGCAGCCCATCAATGACTCCCTTTCTCATCATCGATGTTTCTACCTCTCTCTCTCCCCCCGCTCCTTCGTCTCTCTGAAATCAATAAAAACATTAAAAAAAACCAAAACATTTTCAAAGCAAGTTATCAAAATTAGAAATGACATTATAATTTCAAATTAATATTTTTTTAAATCAATAAAGGGTGGTCCTGTGATTATCAGTGTTTCTAATCTGTATTTTTTTTTTTTAGGAACAGTAACATGGGAAAAGTATATTTTGACCCTGTTGTTACCATTAGCACAGAGCACATTGTATACTCTTAGTAGTGGCTGGTACTTTAGGTAAATGATGGCGCATAATTAAATGAGAAGAGATTTTTGTAAGCCACTTGGTGAATAGACTCACTGAGTATGTTAGTTACACAATCTGTTTTAACAGTTGGTGGATTCCCATGGTGAGAAGAGCATACCAGATGGAACTGGTGGAGAACAGAGTAGAGTTCAAAATAGACTCATATACGTGAAATTTAGTAAATGCTAAATGGAAAATTACACGTAAGTGAGGAAAAGAGCTGTGTAATCAGTGTTGTTGAGACAACCAAACTGTCCATTTGGGATGAAAAAGGAGGCTGAATCCCTAGTTCACATCCTTATTAAAGATACAGATGTGGCCCGGGTGGGCCCAGCTCAGTGGTTGAGCGTCAACATAGGATCCAGGCGATCGGGGTTCGATTCCCTGTCAGGGCACATGCCCGGGTTGCGGGCTCGATCCCCAGTCGGGGTTGTGCAAGAGGCAGCCGATCAATGACTCTCTCATCATTGATGTTTCTCTCTCTCTCTCCCCCTCCTTTCCTCTCTCTGAAATCAATAAAGATATATTTAACAACAAAAAAAGATACAAATGTAAAAAAGAATTAAATTATTCAAATCATAGGAAAAAATATTGAATGATTAAAAAAACAATGAAATGGGAAAGCATAATTTAAAAGTTATAATGAAAACACTTTTAAGTTTTTAATTTTTATATAAACCAGTTGTGTGTGGTTTCAAAAAAAGTCATAAAGTCAAGAAACAAATGATAAACTGAATATTTTCAGTAAAAGAGTTGATTTCTTTTATATACAAGGACAATTTACAAGTAATTAAGAAAAATGGACAAGTCATACCCTAGAAAAGAAATACACATGGTTAATAATAATAAGCAAGGAAAAATGTTTGTTTCTCATTAAAGAAAATTAGTGAGATATTAGCTTTCACATAAGAAATAGCAGAGATTAGAAATTTAAGGTTTGTAATATTGGTTGCTGTAACTTGTTGAGAGTTTGGTACAGTGTATCAATTTTATTGCAAATAGCTTTAGAACCAGGTAATCCATTTCTATGAATTCTCCCTTCAGAAATACCCTCACATTAAAAAATATATACAAAGAAATTCAGTGCTTACTCTGAATGTAAAAATGTCTAGAAAATGCTCTGTAATTCAGTAGAGCTCCTGAAACCTATACCTGCCAAAAATGGCCCAGTTTTGTTTCCAGAATCACAAAACCTACTCCTCTTAGCTCTTTGGAGCATCAGAAGCCTGGCCCTGTTACTTCTCTTGAGCCAGAGACACACCTCCTCTTCCTTAAGTGAAAGCAGATTGCAGAACAATATGTTTAACATCTTATTTGTGTAGAATGTGTTTATGCATTTGTGTGTGCATAGAACATTTCTTCAATGGCATGTAAGTACAGGGGCTACCCCTGGGGAGTGACACTGTGTGAGTATTTTGTACTGTGTGAATGAATATGTTTTTAACTGAGCTGTTACTTTTATCACCTAAGACTTAAAAATTTAAAGTCATATTTTCTGGCAAGCAAGTTCCTGTCTCCAGGCTGTCCTCTATTTAAATTGCCTTTTGCTTGGCAAGGGCAACATCTCTGCTTAAGTAATAATTTTAAGCCTAGGATGGCATTTCATTCAAAATCTCTGCTCGAATTGTCTCCTTGACAGCTTTCTCTACATTGCCCTCCACAATCTTACTTCCCTGCCAATGTAAGCACCATATTGTAAGACACCCCTTTAACCCTGAGTGCTTAGAAAAGCATCAGACACAAAATTATTTATTAAGTAAATGACTAAAATACTTTATATTAGGATGGATAAAATATATTTTGATATATTTTTTTAAAAGATCTATGAGCCCTGGCTGGGTAGCTCAGTTGGTTAGAGTCATCTTGATATGCCAAAGTTGTGGGTTCGATCCCTGGTCAGGGCACATACAAGAATCAGCCAATGAATGCATAAATAAGTGGAACAAGAAGTAGATGTTTCTCTTTAAATAAGTAAATAAAATTTTAAAAATCTATGAAAAGAGTTTTCACAGTTAGACCTAATTTAACAAGTGTTTTCTGAAATGGCTTTAAAGTTTCTTGCTCAAACTTAAATAGCCTAGCTTGAATTTTAGTATTTACTTAGCTTTGTGCACAGACAGCTTGTTGATATTTGGGTTTTTAGAGTCAAGATGTAAACCACATGCAGTAGATAACTTGGGGGTCAGGCTTAGGTCACCGATAGTTTCATAACCTAGTTAAGTCACTTCTCTGAACCTCAGGTTTTTCATCACTAAATGAAAAAAATAATGCTTGAGTCATATTATTAAGAGTATTAAATGGGATCATGTATGTAAATCTAACAGAGTTCCTGGGACTCAGTTAAAAATTAGTTCCATTTCTTGAAAATCTTTTATAGAGATATTGAATAAATGCTTGTGCCATCCGAGGCTTAAAATTATGCAGTTTTAGAATGGGCTAGAATAGCATTTCATTCAAGATTATGTTCCCTGAAAATAATTTATTTCTACTTTATTTCAGCATTGTTGAAAGTTTTAAAAGAATATAATTGTATGTGTTGTAACAGAAAGAAAAATGGAAGTATTTCAGGAACTTCGTAAACCATCAGTACGTTTGGAGTGTGACCACTGCAATTTCAGAGGCACGGATTATGAAAACGTACAAATCCACATGGGCACCATCCATCCAGAATTTTGTGATGAAATGGATGCTGGTGGGTTAGGTAAAATGATATTTTACCAGAAAAGTGCAAAGCTATTTCATTGCCATAAATGCTTCTTCACCAGCAAGATGTACTCTAATGTATACTATCATATCACATCCAAACATGCAGCCCCAGAGAAATGGAATGAGAAACCAAAAAACCAGTTAAACAAAGAAACAGATTCTGTGAAAAGCCCTCCTCTTCCTGAACACCAGAAAATGCCCTCTAATTCAGAACTCCAGAAACCTGTACCTGCCCTTTCCATAGAAACAGAGAAACTTGGCACACTTTTGTCTCCAGAATCACCCAAACCTACTCCTCTTACTTCCCTGGAGCCTCAGAAACCTGGTCCTGTTTCTCCTGAGCCACAAACACCTCTTCCTTCTCCTGAGCCACCAAAAACTACCCCTGTTTCTTCTCCTGAACTTCCAAAACCAGTCCCTGTTGTTTCTGAATCTCAGAAACCAGTTCCTTCACCAGAACCACAGAAACTTGCTCCTGTATCTCCTGAGCCAGTAAAGGCTACTCTTATTAATCCCAAACCTCAGAAACACTCCCATTTCCTAGAAACATTGGGGCCGCCTTCAGCCTCCTCTCCAGAGTCACCAGTTCTAGCTGCTTCTCCTGAACCTTGGGGGCCATCCCCAACTGCGTCTCCAGAGTCTCGGAAGCCAGCCCGGACAATTTCCCCTGAGCCAAGGAAGCCATCCCCGTCAGAGTCTCCTGAACCTTGGAAGCCATTCCCTGCTGTCTCTCCAGAGCCTAGGAGACCAGCCCCAGCTGTGTCACCAGGTTCTTGGAAGCCAGGGCCACCTGGGTCGCCCAGGTCTTGGAAATCCAGTCCTTCAGCATCAGGACCCTGGAAGCCAGCTAAACCTGCTCCATCTGTGTCTCCTGGACCTTGGAAACCAATTCCTTCTATATCACCCGGACCTTGGAAACCAACTCCATCTGTGTCCCCTGCATCCTGGAAGTCTTCGTCAATCTCATCTGGTTCCTGGAAATCTCCCCCTGCATCTCCTGAATCATGGAAGTCTGGCCCACCAGAACTGCGAAAGACAACTCCCACCTTGTCACCTGAACATTGGAAGACAGTTCCCCCAGTGTCTCCTGAGCTCCGTAAAGCAGGACCTCCCTTGTCTCCTGAGCTTCGCAAACCGGGCCCACCATTGTCCCCAGACATTCGTAGTCCAGCGGGATCTCCAGAGCTCAGAAAACCCTCAGGATCTCCAGAACTTTGGAAGCTTTCTCCTGACCAGCGGAAGACTCCTCCTGCTTCACTCGATTTTCCTGAGTTCCAGAAAAGTTCCCGTAGTGGTTCCCCTGATCTCTGGAAGTCTTCCTTTTTTATGGAACCTCAGAAACCTGTCTTCCCTGAGACCCGGAAACCTTGTGGGCCACCTGAGTCCCCTAAAGCGGCCTCCGATATCTGGAAGCCTGTTCTCTCTATTGATACTGAGTCTAGAAAGCCTACTCTGTTTTCTGAGCCTACCAAAACAGCCCCTCCTGCTTCTCCTGAACCACGAAAACGCGCTCTTTTTCCAGAGCCCCGGAAACATGCCCTTTTCCCTGAACTTTCCAAATCTGCTGTGTTCTCAGAATCTCAAAAGGCAATTGAATTGGGTGATGAACTACAGCCGGATGCCATAGATGATCAGAAGTGTGATATTTTAGTTCAGGAAGAACTACTAGCTACACCTAAGAAACTCTTAGAAGACACTTTATTTCCTTCCTCAAAGAAACTCAAGAAAGACAACCAGGAGAACTCTGATGCTGAGCTTAGTAGTAGTGAATATATAAAAACAGATTTGGAAGCAATAGATAGTAAGGGCCAAGAATCAAGCAGTGATCAAGAGCAGGTTGACGTGGAATCTATTGATTTTAGTAAAGAGAACAAAATGGACATGACTAGTCCAGAGCAGTCCAAAAATGTGCTACAATTTACTGAAGAAAAAGAGGCTTTTATCTCTGAAGAAGAGATTGCCAAATATATGAAGCGTGGAAAAGGAAAGTATTATTGCAAAATTTGTTGCTGTCGTGCTATGAAAAAAGGTGCTGTTTTGCATCATTTGGTTAATAAGCATAATGTTCATAGCCCTTACAAATGCACAATTTGTGGAAAGGCTTTTCTTTTGGAATCTCTCCTTAAAAATCATGTAGCAGCCCATGGGCAAAGTTTACTTAAATGTCCACGTTGTAATTTTGAATCAAATTTCCCAAGAGGCTTTAAGAAACATTTAACTCATTGTCAAAGCCGGCATAATGAAGAGGCAAACAAAAAACTAATGGAAGCTCTTGAACCACCATTGGAGGAGCAGCAGATTTGATTTTTAAAAACATTGTGGCTATATGCTCTACAAAGTTGTTTATTGAAACCAGGTGTTGAAAGTATAGTTAAATAGCCTAGTTGGATTAGTAGATGTTGCTGTGTATGGTGTACAGTGTTTGTCTCAGTAGTGTTACACAGAATAGGCATTTGGTTATTTTTTTCATGGTCTCTGTTTATGTTGCTATCTTGTAAGTCAGTTCAGACTATATATTCCAGATGGATAAAATATCTAATCTCTTTTAAGTATATTTGAATAATAAAAAGATGTAGGCGTCCATTTAACAAGCAAGAGCAAGTTGTTACTCAATTTAAAATATCTAGTTAAAAAGTGTATTTTTTTGTGTGTGTGAAACTCATTTCAGACAATGGCAATTACTAGTTGGAATGTTTAAGAATTAGGCATGAAAATTTTGAGACATTTTGTTCTTTTAAAAGTATTTTCAGATCATAAAATTTATTTTGAAGTTTCTATTTGATCATTTTTATAAATCTTGAACAGTTTCTAGATGTTTATTAACTTTTATGTCTTGGAAAATTGGAGTCTCAGGGTTGCTGATTTTCTGCTAAAAGAGGGAAAATTGAGTAAGTATAAAAAACTGTTCGCAGCCTTCTCCTAAAGGAAACTGAGAAAGGTGAGTATGATTTCTAGGTCTTGTCCTTAGTTGTTTGCGTTGAAGTCTTCCATTCTGTATCTTATCCCAAGCTCTGGCCCTTCACTTCCCTGTGAGCTCACACCAATAGATGATCCTTAATTGCCAAATGTGTTATTAGAGTTGTACCTCCTACTCCTGGGCCTTACGTGCCACCTGTTGGGGCTTCAGATCAGGGTTATGAGTAGGAACCGAAAAGTCTTCCAGATTCACCATAGACAATGTTTTAAAGACATTTCCGTTTTAGAATGTGTCCATTCTTGTTTTTAAAGTTGTTACTGTAAATACCTTGAGCCTGTTCATGGATTATTCTATTCTAAAATATTTTGTCAAATGTGTATCAACCAAATTAAAAACAAAGGCTTTCATGTCACCGTTATCTTCATGCGTGTGTTTTCTTTTTCATTATATGATATACAATTTCTGTTAATCTCCCTTATTTCTACTTGTTTTCAGTGTACCAATTTTTTCATATATGGAGCAGCATTTTCTCAGGTCTGTTTTCTCAAAGTTCTATGGTCACGTAAGTTAGGGAATCACAAGGTGCTCCTTGTGAAGAATCGCATCAGTGCACATTAGCTTATTAAAGGTGGTTTTAATTCCAGTGGTTGTCAATCCTGGCTGCTTCATTTAAATAATGTGAAACATTTAGTGCTAGGATTCTGATGTGTAGTCAGTATTGAGATACTGGCTTTAGTTGAGCTATTTCTGAACAGTGCCTTTTTTTTTTTTTTTTTTTAATGGCATCCAGATTAACATGCCAATTGGGAAGGCAGTGTTTAACTAATACTGAGAACATCTTACAGCTTCAAATTTATCACTTTGGTGAACATAGGCAAGGAAAGCACTGAGTGGGTGTCAGTTTACACTGGGCACTTCAAGAACAAGCTTCCATTTCTGGAGTTTCCTTCTAGGCATGATGCCAACAAGTAGGACAGATAAGATATCTTTGATGTACAGTTGTGTTTTTCTCTATACTGACTTGATTAAAATTATGAATTGAAAAACAAAGGGTCTGCAGTACCCAGAAACCCTTTTGAAGCCTGCTGTCTCCAACCATGTTATATGCAATAGATTCTTTCCCTTAGGATTTCACACTTTTTGGTGCAAACTTCTCAAAGAATTCTTCGTAGACTTTTGTTCAAGGTGGTGCCAACTACATCACATAACTTGCCATCTGATGTGGGGTTTTTTCATAATATCTTCATAGGATAGAGGGTAAGTGGTGGGGACATATGCATAGTTTTAGCCTTGAGGCCTTACTCTTATTTATTTAAACCAGCATGGTTTTTGCCTCACCTCACTGTTGGCTTCCCTTTTTTTTTGCCTTAAAAGTTAGGGTAAGCTGTGCCATTACTTTAAGACCTAATTTATTTTTTAACCTTGATAATTTTGCCTCCTATATAATAGCATACCTCTCCAATCAATATGACCCTGTTTACATTTTTATTTTCTTTTTTATGTAATTACAAGTATTTTTAATGAATTCTCAAACTGTTGATTTTAATATGCAAGGGGAATAAAAATTATTGAATCACCTTTTATTCGACATTTATGGGCTTGGTGCCATATTTTAGGTGGCCAATTTTCATTAATTTGCGTGAATTGTGATGTGTCTATAGCAGATTTTTTTTCCTTTTTTTTTAAATACTGGTATGGACTTTACAGTTTTGCCTTGGATGAAGATTGAAGGATACTTCTCAAATCTGATCTGTAAGTATCACAAAGTGAAGGAGGGGGGTCTTTTTACATTGAATTACAACCCTAGAGCTTAGACCCCAAAATTGTTGTTCTTTCCAACCTACCTGTTTCTGTTCATGTAGTGTATTAGTTTTCTGTTGCTGTAACAAATTACATGAAACTTACTGGCTTAAAACAGCACATACTAGTTCTCTGACAGTTCTGTACTTCACTGAAGTAAAACCAAGGCGTCAGCAGGGCTGCATTCTTTCCTGGAGGCTCTAGAAGAAAATCCATTCTCTTTTCCAGCTTTTAGAAGCCACCTGCACTCTTGGCTCGTGGTTCCCTTCCTCTGTCTTTGAGCTAGTGCATAGTGTCTCTTTGACACTGCTTCTGTTGTCACATCTCTTTCTCTATTTCCCTCTTCCACTTAAGGACTCTTGTGATTACGTTGGGCAACCCAGGTAATCTAGGATGATCTCCCTATTTTATTTTTATTTTTTAATTTTACTTTTAAATTTATCTTTTTGTTGAGAGTATTACAGATGTCCCCTTTTCTTCCCCATTGATCCCCTTCACCCTGTACCCCTCCCCCGAGGCCTTCACCACCCTATTGTCTGTGTCTATGAGTTATGAATATATGCATCTAAATTCTTACATTACTCTCTCCCCACCCACCCACCTTCCCTCTGAGATTCATCAGTTTATTCCATGCTTCTATGTCTCTGAATCTGTTTTGCTCATTGGTTTATTCCACGTATGAGTAAGGTCATGTGACACTTGCCTTTTCTGTGACTGGCTTATTTTGCTTACCATAATACCTCCAGATCCTGCCATGCTGTCTCAAAGGGTAAGGGATCCTTCATTTCTACAGCTGCATAGTATTCCATTGTGTAAATGTCCGAGAAGTGCTTGGTATGATTTCAGTAATCTTGAACTTGTAGAGACTTGTTTTGTGTCCTAATATGTGGTCTGTCTTTGAGAATGACCCATGTGCACTTGAGGAGAATGCTGCTTCTGCAGCTTTGGAATGGAATACTCTGTAAAGGACAATTAAATCCATCTGATCTAGTGCGTCATGTAGGGTCACTGTTTTCTTGTTGATTTTTTTGTTTGAAAAATCTATCCAGTAAAGTCAGTGGGATGTTAAAGTTTCCTACTGTAACTGTATTGCTGTTGATCTCTCCTTTAAGTCCTCCAGAAGGTGTTTTTTTTTTTCAGCCTGTGTGTCTTTTGTTGTGAAATGGGTCTCTTGTAGACAGCATATATTTGGGTCTTGTTTTCTTATCCATTCAGCTACCCTGTCTTTTTGTTGGGACATTTAATCCATTTATATTTAAGGTTATTATTAATAGGTACTTATCGCCATTTTATTTTTTTATTTTTAATTTATTTTTAATATATTGATTTCAGAGAGAGGAAAGGAGAGGGAGAGAGAGATAAACATCAATGATGAGAGAGTCATTGTTTGGCTGTCTTGAGCCTGCAACCCGGGCATGTGCCCTGACCAGGAATCAAACCCTGATCGCCTGGATCCTAGGTCCATGCTCAACTGCTGAGCCACGCCCGGCCGGGCACCATTTTATTTCTTTATGCCTATGTTTCTTACTCTCTATTTCAACAACTTATTACAGCAGCCCCTTTAAACATTTCTTGCAATGCTGGTTTGGTGGTGATAAATTCATTTAGCCATTTTTGGTCTGGAAAGCTCTTTATTTCACCATTGACTTTGAATGATAGCCTTGCTGGATAGAGTAGTCTTGGTTTCAGATCTTTGCTTTGCATTACCTTGAATACTTCATGCCATTCCCCTCTGGCCTGTAGAGTTTCTGATGAGAATTCAGCTGACAGCCTTATGGGAGCTCCTTTGTAGGTAACAGATTGCTTTTCTCTTGCTGCCTTTAAGATTCTCTCTTTGTCTTGTATTTTCGGCATTTTAATTATGATGTGTCTAAGTGTGGGCCTCTTTAGAGTCTTCTTGCTTGGGACACTGTGCCTCCTGAACTTGTGTCACTTTTTTCTTGACCAGGTTAGGGAAGTTTTCTGCCATTATTTCTTCAAACAGGTTCTGTAACCCTTGCTTACTTTCTTTCTCTTCTGGCATTCCTATGATGCAAATATTATGTTTTATGTTGTCCCACAGTTTCCTTAAACTGTTGTCCTGTTTTTTAGTTGTTTTTTCTTTTTGGATCTCTGATTGATTTTTTTCTACCCTGTCATCTAATTTGCTGATCTGTTCCTCAGCTTCCCCTAATCTGCTGTTCATTCCTTCCAATATTTTTTTATTTCTACATCATTCTTAATTTTCTTCATAGTTTCTATATCTTTTTTCATGCTGTTGAGAATCTTTATGATTAGTATTCTTAACTCTATAGCTGATAGATTGCTTATCTCCATTTCATTTAGCTTTTCTTTTGGAAAATTCTTTTGTTCTTTCATTTGGGGCTTGTTTTTGTTTTTTGTCTCCCCATTTTGGCTGCCTATTTGGATTTGTTCCTATGTGTTAGGTAGATTTGCTAGGACTCCCAGTCTTTTGGATGATCGCTGGTGCAGGCCAATGTCAGACACTGTTAGTGACTGGCCTTGAGTACCCTGTTTGAAGTTTTCCACACCCTGCAGCTTCTGGTTCCCTCTGCTAGAGCTGGGTGTATTGGGACAAGACCAAGATGTGCAACAAGGTCTGCTTTTCCAAGCCCTGGGTCCAGGAGCAAATCAGCAGACTCAATGGACCCAGAGACTGTTAATCTCTTAAGGGGCCTCAGGCTGTCAAAACTCCATGGGGTGGGGCCAGCAGGATGGAGCATTTATTTCCCCCTAAGGCAAAAGATGCTTAAAAGGTAAATGCCTGCTTGAGAAAGATGTCTTTTGTCGTATGGGGGCATGACTCAGCACCGGGATCCAGATGGGTGACCTCTGAGATCTGTTCCCCCAGCCAGCCCCTCTGGACTCTCCTCAGTGCTCTAGTCCACCCTGCCTGCCTTCCACCAGAGCCTAAGCAGAGTGGCTGCATACGAAACTTTGTGTGTTGGCCCTTTAAGAGGGTGCTTGCATTTCCAGTCATCTCTCCCTGGCAGATGGAAACTCTGCTGCTTTTTGCAGCCAGATGTTATGTGGGCACCTTCCTTAGTTTTGGTGCTCTGAGCTGGGAAGCTCAACTTGGAGTTTAGGCCCCAGAGTTTTCAGTGGGAACCCCCCACAGCTGAGATATCCCTCCAAACCTTCAGCTGCTACCTGTGGGAGCCCAGTCAGCCCTCTCGCACCTCCACGCTTTCTACCAGTCTTTATGCGGTCTCCACTTTTTGTCCTTGTTTATGAGGATGCTCCCCAGCTATTGTTCAGTTGCAGCTGATTGTTCAGGATGGTTTTTCTATTTTTTAGTTGTAATTCCAGCTTGGTCCTGGGAGAGTGTTAGTGTAGCTTCCACTCAATCCGCCACTATCTTGGATCTCTTGATCTCCCTATTTTAAAATCAGCTGATTAGTAACCTTAAATTTCCTTTGCCATAAAATACCATATTTACAAGGTCTGGCAGTTGGGACTTGGACATCTTGGGGGGGCCATTCTTCCTGCCACACCTGTGCTTGAAAACTGTGTGTTTTGATTCCTCTGCTTGGCCTAAGCTAGGCTGGTTTCATTTCTTCAGCAATACACCTGTTGCTAGCCCTTCACTGGTTTAGGTTCTCATTGTGTGCAC